TGTTCCCATCTTCCTTTTAATAAATTGGTGTAACATCTTGCACAGCTAAATCATTAAGGGGAGTTCTAAGCTCCAGAGGCCAGTAATAAATGCACAAAAATAATATAGAACTAGGTATGTAAAATATAAGCCTATCTAGTCATCTATACTAATGGATTTTAAACAAAAAAAAAATAATAACTGAGGATAAGCACCAGGCACATTAGAAATTAAAATTAGGTTGCAGAGTTCCCCAATTCATACAAAAAGACTGGTATACAATAAATGATTCAAGGGAGCAATTCTTAGGAATAAAATTGTGCATGCTTTTACATTAACTGATGGGCTCCACATTTTCCTATGATGCTTCATAATGTATTTTGATAGCTGTTTCCTCACACCATATTCCTTGAATATACTTTAAGTTTGTGTTCGTTTTTTATACCCTAATGAATTCAACATTCTTACCCTTGGACACTACTTAATTCTGAAAAGTCTCTTTATTGACCATAGATTGCCATTTTTTCCAGCTATCCGTAGTGACTTGTTCCTAATAGATGTTTAAATAACATTTCTCCTTTAATTGCCAAAGTTATATATGCTTATTGCAGAAAATACGGAAACACAGAATTATAAAGAACAAAAATAATTACCTATAGGCAATCACTGAGAGTTAAATCTAGAGGATATTTTTCTTTCCTTCTATTCCATATGTTCTTATACATGTGTCACAAAATTCGCATGGTTCCACATATTCTGTATCCTAGTTGATTTTCCTTTTTAAACATTATACTGTGAGTACCTTGCATTTTTATTAAATATTCTTCAAAATGTCATTTAAATAGTTGCATAATATTCCATCATGTGGATTGACATAATTTATGAAGCCATTCAACAGGACTTCCTTTAAATAATACTACCATAAACATCTTTCTCTATAAATTTTTCTTTATACATTCAACAAATATTTGTTGTACATTTACTCTGAGCTTGATTCTGTGTTGATTCCAATGAAGAAATAGCAGAGAACATGACAGATGCGATTTTGTTGTTCAATATTTTTTCTCATTACTTCCTTAGGATAGATACCTATACAAGAAATTACTTTTTAAAGCCTTTTGACACATAGTGACAAATTGCATTTCAAAAAGGTTGTGCCAATTTACAATTTCCCAATATCTGAGTAACTATAGTAGCTTTATTGTATACTTACCTGTGTTGGGCACAGTTCTAAGAGACTTACTTGTGTTATCTCAGCCCAAGATGAGACATGTACTATCATTATTTTCACTTTATAGGTAAAGAACCAAGACTCAGAGCTAAAGTTATACACTCCTAAGAGGTGGGGGCAAGATTCAAATGCAAACATTCTGACTCCATCGCCAGATCCTAATTGCTTTACTATAAATTATTTTTATTGAATTTCAGCCAACTTGAAAAGAATCTCTCTCACATTTTCATGTCTAGTCTTATGATTATTAGCAAAAGTACCAGTTTCCCCTAAGTTTAGAAGCTCTTTGCAGTCTCCACAATGAACAGCTAATGTTGACTTGATTAGTTTCCACAAATGGATGCAAATCTTTGACATTCCATTCTTATTCCTAATTGGTGTCCACTCTGCAAGCAGACATTAATTTTTATATTGGACTAATTAATAACATGGGGCTTATAATGTGTCAGGCCCTCTAAACTAAGCGAACATGAAGATACTCTTAAGATACACCTTATAAGTATAAAACTGTCCAAGTTTACAGGTGTTTTTTTTTGGGGGGGGGTTGATCAAATATCTTTGAGAGTGGATATTTTTTCCCTAACTTAACTTCATTTATTCAATGACCAACCAAACCCATTTCTGTTGAATATGAACTTAAACATGAAACAGAAAACAGTAAGTTTTAGAAGATAAAATAGGATTAGATCTTCACAATCTCCAGATTGAAAAAGTTTTCGTTGATAGGACAGAAAAAAAAACAAACAAATAACAAAAAAACTAATTGTAGAAAAGACTGATAAATTGACCTTTTACAGTTAAGAACTTTTTTCATTTTATTTATTTTATTTTATACATTCAGTCACTGGACATCACCACAGCTAGTAAAAAAAAAAAATTCCCAGCATAAATACACTATGCACCAGTCCAGTTAAAGATAATATCATACTTTCATCAACAGACAATCATTCATTTCTGTGTCCCTTAAAAATCTTGTCTCTATTTTTCTCCTTGATTAGAGTGGATATTTTAAAATTTAGTTTTGAAGTTTCCCACCCAAAGCTTAGTGACAAGATAGAGTTAAGGGTTAAGTGTTAAGGTTTTGACAATATTTACAATATTTATGGCTGACAATATTTATGTCATTAGTATCCTTCCATTATCAAGGGACACGGTAAGGTTTTCTTGTCCAAGGTCTACCAATTTACCCATGCTCTTTGCTCTATAACTTCTGCTGTATTTTTAGCTGTGTTTTGATTCATTATGCACTCCCTGCCCCTTCTTTATCCTCAATTTCTGCCTTTTTAGTCGCTTTTATCACTTTTCTTATAAACATACTCAAATGTTTCCCATTTTGCAAACCTTCTTTGCTCACATTTTATGCTTAAGAAACGATCTCTCAGGACCAGCGGATGGCGTAATCGTTACATCACTGGACTCCCACATAGTCGACTGCGGTTCAAGTCCCGGACCTGGTGACTTAAAACTCATGCTGGATGCATATGCGTGTGCCCAAGATTCTGAGAGGAGAATGGAGGAGAAGGGATTGTGCATGGCCACCCCCTGGGGGGTGATTTCTTGCTTTTTGTCTCTTATCTCTCTCTGTTTCTCTGGCAAGCACATGTGCCCTGTAACAAAAACCTCTCTCTCTCTCAAAAAAAAAAAAGAAAGAAAGAAAGAAAGAAATGATCTTCTCTGGCAAGCACATGTGCCCTGTAACAAAAACCTCTCTCTCTCTCAAAAAAAAAAAAAAAAAGAAAGAAATGATCTTTCTCCCCCCACTCTGTTTGTCTGAACTTCTTGAAAGAACACTGTGTTCACTATTTCATCTTCTGGCCTCCCATTAACTCCTATGGCTGGCTTCCACTTCTCAGTATTCTATGGAAATGCTCTTAGAAGTCTCAGAGAACTTCCTAAAGCTGGATGAGATGATTTTTGTGATTTCTTTCTCAATGGATTTTTCTGCTGCTTTTGACACCACCAGTCTCTCTTCATTCCTCAAACCTTTTTCTATACCACCATACTCTTTTTCTGTCCATCCTGCTCTCTGACACTTTATTCTTTGCTCAATTAATTGTCTTTTGGTTCTCCTCTCACCTCACAAAATCTAGTAGTCCCTGAGGTTCAGTCTTTGGGGAATTACTTTGCTGATATTACATACTCTCACTGGGTGGTCTTATTGATCTTTGTGGCTCAACTGCCTCCTATATTCTTATGACTGAAAATCTCTCTATCCAGCCTGTAGTTGTCCCCTAGTTGGAGAATAATATTTCATCAAATTCCCCTCCCCAAGAGGACATGTGTGCTTGATGGAGAGAGACATATAGCATCAAATTCCCCTCTCCAAGAGGACATGTGTGCTTGATGGAGAGAGACAGAGAGAGAAATAGAGAGAGAGGGAGAGAGAGAGAGAATGGGAGAAAGAAAGTATCAAAGCACCACTGTCCATGGGAGGATGGTCATGTTGTCATCCCTTCTCCTCCATTTCTCCCTCTTTTTAGGATTATGGGCAGTTTAAGTCCAAGCTACTGGATCTGGAACTCAAACTGCATTGTCAGCCATGTGAGATCCAGCCACTTTAACCACCGCAACATTGGCTGGCCCTCTCATCAAGTTTTTATAATAACCATGGTGCCCTACAGGTTACTCAGTATGTCTTATCTACAAACTTCTTTCTCTTCCTGTTTTCTTCATCTCAGTTCCAGAGACCGCCATCCATTCATTTCTTAAATGGTCAGAAGTTTAGATCATTGATTTGAGACCTCATTTCTTTGCTATCATTGGGGTTTAGTGCTTTAAGTTTGCCTGTAAGTGCTATAATATATTAACAGCATTTCACAAAGCTTGATATGTTCCTTCAATTCAAAATACTTTCTAAACCTTCTTTTTTATTTCTACCTTGACCAGTATGTTACTTTGAAATATGTTTTTTGGTTTATAAGCACTTGCAGGGGAGAGGTTGCCAGTGATATTTCTGTCATTTCTTTATCATTTGATTCTATGTTGGTGAAAAAACATGTGTTGCATGACTTGAATTCTTTAAAATTTATTAAGAAGTACTTTTGCCCAGAGCATTATTTATCTTGACACCACCCCTTGTACATTTGGAAAGAACATGTTTCTGCTGTTTTAGGGTAGAATGTTTTCTAAATGTTAATTAGGTCAAGTTGCTTAATAGTACCATTATACTTTTCTGATAGTGCTTACTACATACTATTTTTATCAGTTATTTACAGAGGGGTATTGAAATTCTGATTATAAATGTAGACTTGTATATTGTTGTTGTTCTATTAGCTTTAGCTTCATGTGTTTTGAAGCTCTGTTATTAGGTGCATATGCATTTAATGAATTAGCCCTATTATCATTATGAAATAATCCCCTTTATCTTTGATAATATTGTTTACTGTGTAATCAACTTTGCCCAATAGTAATACTTCAGTTTTTCTTCCCATCCTTAACCTGTTTGTGACTTTTTAATAAAGCATATTTCTTACAGGCAATATATAGTTGAATTTTTTTTAATCTAACAATCTCTTTACCATTTAGTTGGGTACAGTGCATTTAGACCATTTACAGTTTATGTGATTATTTATATGATTAGATTTTAAGCTTTCTTTTTACTCTATGTGACATCTGTTCTTTGTTCCCTTTTTCAAATACATTTTATCTTTTGTTTAATAAATTAATATGTTAATAAATTAATTACATATTTTTGGGACCAGTAGATGGCAAATGGTTATGTCTCTGGACCACTGTGTAGTTGACTGTGGTTTGAGTCCTGTACCTGGCAGCTTAAAACTCATGCTGGGGGGTGCTTGCTTCTGCAGCATATATACTAAAATTGGAATGACACAGAGAAGATTAGCATGGTCCCGGCACAAGGATGACATGCAAATTGGTGAAGTTTTCTGTATTTTTCACTTAGCAATAAAACTAACCAAGGAAGTCAAAGACCTCTACAAGGAAAACTATGAAAACCTTAAAAAGAAAATTGAAAAGGACACTAAAAAGTGGAAGGGCATCTTATGTTCTTGGATTGGCAGGATCAATATAATTAAAATGACAATTCTACTCAAATTATTCTACATGTTTAATGCAATCCCTATAAAATTATAAGACACATTCTTCACAGATCTAGAAAAGCAATCATAGAATTTTTCTGGAACAATAGAAGACCCCGTTTTGCTAAAGTCATCCTGTGCAAGAAGAATGGAGTAGGTGGCATCTCATTTCTGAACCCCAAAATATATTACAAAGCTGTAATAATCAAAACAGCATGGTATTGGCACAAAAACAGATATGAGGATCAATGGAACAGAGCAGAGACTCCAGAAATAAATCCCAAAACATACAGCCAACTCCTCTTTGACAAAGGGTACCAGTCAATCCAGTGGGAAATGGGAAACCTCTTTAGCAAATGGTGTTGAAAAAAAATGGGTATCCACCTGCAGAAAGATGAATCTGAACCCCTATCTGTCACCATTAACAAAAATAAAATCAAAGTGGATCAAAGATCTAAACCTAAGACTGCAAACTATAAAACTACTGGTGAAAAACACTGGGGAAACTCTGGGAGACATTGGGGTAGGCAAAGACTTCTTAAGCAAGACCCCCGAAGCACAAGCAATAATCCCCAAAGCAGACAAGTGGGATAACATCAGATTAAGGATTTTCTGCAAAGCAAAGGAAACCGTAATTAGTGTGAATCGACAACCCATGGAATGGGAGAAAATTTTTGTTAACTGTGCCTCAGATAAGGGACTGATAACCAGAATACACAGGGAACTCAAGCAGCTTACCTGGAAGAACATGATTAACCTAATTAAAATATGGGAAAATGAACTGAATAAACAACTCTCTAAGGAAGACATACAAACAGCCAAAAGCATATAAAAAAAATGCTCAAAATCCCTCATTGTAATGGATATGCAGGTAAAAATCACAATTAGATACTACCTAACCCCAGTCAGAATGGTGAAGTTCAAAAGAAACAAATAATGATAAATGTTGGAGAGGATGTGGTGAAAGGGGGACACTCCTACACTGTTGGTGGGAATGTAAATTGGTCCAGCACTGTGAAGAACGATATGGAGGTTCCTTAAAGACCTTCAAGTAGAATTACCATATAATCCATCAATTCCACTCTTGGGTATCTACCCAAAGGACAGGAGAGCACTCAGTCAGAAAAGTGCTTGCACAACTATTTTCATTGCCACATTATTCACGATTGCTAAGACATGGAACCAACCCACAAACAATGAATGGATTGAAAAATTATGACACATATATTCGATGGGATACCATTCAGCCATAAAAAAACAAAGCCCTGGAATTTGATAGAAAGTGGACAAATATGGAAGGTTTGTTGCTGAGTGAAGCAAGTCAGGCTATGAAAGAGAGACATTATATGTCTCCACTTAACATATACCGACTGTCCACACTCTATGGTAGAGACTGAAAGACTGGAGAACATAAAAGCATTTAAAATTGTAATGGACACTAGAGACAAAGTGGAAAGAGAGTGTGGGAGAAGAGCATAGGAAAGGAAATTTGGGGGGAAAATGGAGAGGTAAGACACTTGTGGGACACAGATAAAGTTTTTTATCTCTTGATGAGGATGTGTACAATAGTCTCAACTGGGCTGGACCAAGGTGTATATCATGCTGGATAAAGTCTCTTCACAATCTAAATGATGTATAGCATTTTAATGTATGAATAATAATTTAAAAATTAATTTTAAAAATGAAAAAAAAGCTTCATGCTGGGGGCATGTGTGTGCATGTCCAAAATCCTGGGAGGAGAATAGAATAGAAGGGATTGCAGCATAGGCATACGCACTGGAGGGTGATTTCTTGCTTTCTGTCTCTCTGTCTCTCCAGAAAGCACATATGCCCTATAGCAAATCTCTCTCTCTAAAATTATAGGCTAATTAAATATTTATTATGACTCATTTTAATATACCTTATTGAATTATTAGTTTTGACTTTTAATAACTGTTTTGCTATTTTTTAAAAAAGATTTTTGACATAAGCCATATGTACTCAGCATAGAGAAAGAGACAGTGAGAAGGAAAGTGAGAATCATCCCCCCAGGGGGAATGGCCATGTTACCACCCTTTCTCCTCTATTTTCTTCTCTGGATTTTGGGCATGCATGCACAAGTGTGAGGTATGGTTTTCAAGCCGCTAGGTATAAGACTCAAACCTTGGTCAGTCATGTGGGAGTCCAGTGCCTTAACCATGATGCCACCTGCTGACCCTCTGTTTTGCTATTTTAATAGTGACTTTAAGCTTTACAGTATATACCTTGAAAATATAACAGTCTAAATGTTATTTTATAGTACTCCATATAATATAAAAATTATACATGTAGCTTCATAAAGTTTAAAACTCTTCCAATAGTGTATTTCTACTTCTCCCCTCCTGGCCTTTATACTACTATTATCATGCAGTATACATAAACCCCATAAAACATTGTTATTTTATATAAAACATCAATTACATTATAAAATATTTAAATAATAAAGAAAAAACTCTATATTTAACTACATAGTTATTTTAAGCACCATTAATTTTCTATATAAATTCAGATTTCCATCTGGAATCATTTTCCTATTGCTTCCAAGATATTCTTAAACATTTCTTGTAGTGCAGGTCTGCTGGTGATGAATTCTTTCAGTTTTTGTTTTGAGAAAACCTTCATTTTGCTTGCATTTATGAAATAGATTCTTGCCAGGTATAGAAATGTAGGTTGACGGGTATTTTGTTTCAACACTTTAAAAATGTTGCTCCACTGTCTTCTCACTTGTATTGCTTCCAATAAGAAATCTGTAGTCATCTATATATTTTTTTCCTCTGTACATAATGCATTCTTTTTCTCTGGCTGCTTTCAAATTTTTCTTTTTATCACTGGCTTTTGGGTTTTGATTAATATGTGTCTTGGATTAGTTTCTGTTTCATGTACTTGAGGTTTAATGAGAATCTTGGATCTGTGGGTTTATAGTGTTCATTGTTTGGGAAGTTTTCAGCAATTATGTCTTCAAATAAATTTTCTCTGCCACTCTTCCCACTCTCAATACAGTTATAGTAACTTTTCAAATGCCCATGTTTGCCAATTTGAACATTTGTGTTAGTTCCATTGAGCGTTTTGATTAATATGTGTCTTGGATTAGTTTCTGTTTCATGTACTTGAGGTTTAATGAGAATCTTGGATCTGTGGGTTTATAGTGTTCATTGTTTGGGAAGTTTTCAGCAATTATGTCTTCAAATAAATTTTCTCTGCCACTCTTCCCACTCTCAATACAGTTATAGTAACTTTTCAAATGCCCATGTTTGCCAATTTGAACATTTGTGTTAGTTCCATGTATGATTTACTGACTTGAAAAATATCTGGTGTGTTTTGATTGATTTTTCTTATTATGGTTGCATTTTCCTTTTTGTTTGCTTTGATTGGATATTAAACACCATGGGCTTTATCCTTGTTGGTTGCTTGACATTTTTGTACTCCCACAAATATTATTGAGGTTGTTCTGGATTGCAGTTAAATTCCTTAAAAACAGTTTGTTTAGAATCTGGCCATTAAGACTTGTTTGTTGGAACTGAAGCAGAGCTCAGAGTAAGGCTAATCATCTTTCACTGTTGAGACTAAACCTTCCTGAGTACTCCATGCTCTGTGACTTTTAATGTTTTTCTGACTGGTGGGAGCAGGCACTATTTCTGGCCTGTGTGAACACTGGGCATAGATAGTGGTAATCTTTTGGGGTTGTTTTAATCCTGGCCTCGAGTAGTTTCCTCATACCTGTGTGTTAATTAACACTCAGCTGAATACTCAAGGAACCTCTTTAAATCCCTGGGGCTCTATCTGTATAGCTCTTGTCTTGTTGGTATTCTGTCTTTCAAATGCTGTCCATCTTGGTATCTAGGAACTCTCAATTCTGTTTCTTAACTCAGAGTCTTTCAAGTTCAGCACACAGAGAGCCAGGATCATCATAAAGTTCACTTTGTTGTTTTTCCCCATGTCCTTGGGACCAGTGTTTTTCATTGCTTAATGTACAAAGTCTTTAAAAACCAGCATGTTATATCTTTTGTCTGTTTTATGGTTGTTTCAATAGGGAGCTAAATCTTTTCTCTTAGGTTTATCCACCAGAGTGAGAGTTTCATTGTAATGCCTTTTCACCAATGTCTTAATTAATCAATTAAGTTTAGAATGTGAGTGGCTTAAAGACAGTCCTTGTCCTACTCATCAGGATGTGGTTCACAGTTGGTGTGGACTCCGAAAGTCAGGATGCCTGGGTTCTCTTTTTTATTCTGCCATTCACTATTTATGACCTTAGGCAAGCTACTTAATTTCTGTGTCTCAGTTTCCTCATCAATAAAATGAGAATAACAATGGTACAATGGTTTGATGTTATTTTTAGGATTCAGAGATATATGTAAAGTGCTTAGGAGAGCAGCTGGCACATAACTCCCAATAAAAGCACCTATTGCTCTGTTAAAACTATTTATTATTACCTTAATTTTACATTCTGCTTCTCACAAGAAGTGAGTGGCATAGGTTGCTTAAAAAGTACTTGGATAAATGAATTAATTTTGACTTTCATTAGGTCCTCACTGCTCATTTGTCAGATGTTCCATTCACGAGTGAAAACCTCCATTATGACTCAGGTGTTTCCTCATCATCATGCCAGAGTCATATGATGAGCATTGTGAAGTCTTCTCTTTTCATCCAAGTAGTGGGAGATGTGTACACATTGTCAGTCTCAGACACTATGCTTGGGTTGCTGAAATTGAACTCTCACTTAATTCAAATGGCAGAGATTTGTCTATTGCCAACGCAGAGTACAATATTTTATAGAAATCGGTGATGCCTTGAAGGGAGTTGTAAACGGATAATGTAATGGGAGGACAGATCTATCGGCAC